CCTGAGGCACTCTAAAGAGTGCCTGCCAGTTCAACATGACTTTGTGGCTTACCATAGTAATTCCGTGGCTCAACCTCACATTGTGGCTTGACCAAAATATATATATAGTTCCAGTCTAATAAAATATTACACCAACATCAGAGTGCTGAGCCTCAAATATTATCCATCTCACAATAATTATGCCACCAGCACCATTCTTCATCCTTCCAAGTCAGCGAGTCAAGCCCTACAAAGATGTTGAAATCTGAATTCAAGCAGCAATTACCTCTATTGAAACCAGTAACGAGGATTACCCAAATGTTGCAGCAATTGCACAAGCATATGAAATCTCTATTTCTCGCCTAAGAGCTTGTTTGCAAGGCATTAAGTCAAGACAAGAGAGATCTGGATCAAACCACACCTTGTCTGAAGACCAAGAGCTGGCTGTTTGCCAGTATCTTAATCGTTTGGATACTATTGGGACAAGTGCATGACTCCAAATAGTCTCTGGATGTGCCAATGCTGTCCTCCTGTTCTCTCATACCAGCTCTTTCCCTATACCAGTTGTTGGTGATCACTGGGCACAGTGGTTCCTAAGCTATCATCCTGAGTGCTTTATCTGCAAGCAACAAACTATCGATGTGGACCGAAAGAATGCACACCAACCTGAAGACATAAGAGTTTGTTTCAAAAAATATGCTGCAGTTTGTCAAAAGTATGATATCCTTTTATGTGAACATTACAACTTTGATGAAACTAGATTCCACATTGGGATTGGATGGGATTAGTGCATTATAACTCAGGATGCAAACCAGCAGTCCTACCTTGGCAGTTCTACAAACTGGGAACTGATTACTGTATGTGAGACCATAAGTGGTGATGGTGTGGTATTGCTACCAATGATTATAGTCCCGGGAGTCATCCACCTGGAAAGCTGGTATACTACAATTAGCATAACAGATAATTATCTACTTGCTACCTTGAAAACCGGATATACAAATGATGAGATCACAATGCTGTGGTTAGCACACTTTGAATGGTTGTCAGTAGAATGGCAAGTCAGTATCTATCGTCTTCTACTACTTGATAGTTTTGGATCACATTGTACAAAACAGTTTCTTGACTACTGTGATCGATTTAAGATTGTTGTCTTCCGCCTTCCTCACCACACTAGCCACCTCCTTCAACCACTAGATGTTGTAGTCTTCTAGCCCTATAAGCATTACCATGCTGAGGCTGTTGAAGTAGCAACTCGTACTGGTTGTGGAGACTTCGACAAGTCCAAATTTCTTAATAAAATTGATTCAATCTGTCAGTAGACATTTAAGTCCTCCACAATTCAATCTGCATTCTGGGCTACAGGTCTAATCCCTTACAATCATTAAATTGTAATTCTCAAACTATGCAAAGTAGTTACCAGAAGTCAACAACCAACCAACTCTGCTCAATTCCTATCTGATGTTGAAATTCCTCAGACAATTGCAAACTTTAAAGATCTTGGGGAGAAGCTGCAGCTGGAGGCGAAGGACCTATCACCTGCATTTCAACTTAAGCTTAAACTTGTTTTACAGGGTGGATTAGCATTAGCACAGTCAGGTGCATTAGCCATTGAGCATATAGAGCATACTCTAGCAGCACAAGAAGCAAGGAGTGCAAGGAACAGAGCACAAAGCCGAAGGCAGGTGTAAAAAGGAAGTGTGATGTATGCCTCTGAAGCACAACAAATGGTGAAAAGGAGGGAAGATGCTGAGGTAGAGAAGGCAGAGAAACAAATGCAGAAAGCTCAAAATGCCAGGAAAAGGGCTGAGAAAGCAGCAAAAAAACCTTTATTTGATGTGATAACAGCACAGTTGAAAGAAATGCAGACTCTTTGTGCATATAAGAAAAAGATATCAAGGTTAATAGTTTAGGGTATTAAACAAAATGCAAAATCTAAGAAATAAATGTATTATAGTATTTAATATTCTGTAGACTGGGAATATTAAAATAATTAATAAATGCAGTTAAGCCACAAAGTGAGATTGAACCACGGAATTACTATGGTGAGCCAGAAAGTCATGTTGAGCTGGCAGGCACTCTTTAGAGTGCCCCAGGTTGTGAGCCTGCGAACATCCAGGGGTTGTGGCCGACAGCCACAACCTTGGCACGAGTATTGGTATCATACGGTAAAACCTTTGGGTTAGGTAACTCTTCCTTTTAAATTTTGATGACTTAAAAAATGGCCTTGAAATGCTGAAGAGGGCGATTGGGCAACAACAACGGGTGGTTATATGTGTTGACGACTGTTCATCAGGGGGAAGGAAGGCTTAATGATTTTAAAGGGAATTAATTCTTGAGCGCCTGGCGAATTTCGATTTATTAAAAGGGGTATCTATGGTAGTCTGGCCAATACAACGTTTTTTTTCTCAGGTTACCTCCCCCATCCAAACAAGCAAGTGCCATCACTGCCCGCCCCAAACCGCCCGACCATCACCACCCCCACCTCCCGCACCAGCCTTGCCGCCCACCAAAAGCCTCACCCCCTATTTCTCCGAGGGCCTTCCCGCCATTCTGCTAAGGAATCTATCAGTCATCTACCATCAACAAGTTTCTCATTGGGCCTTACAGTGGTAGCGGGAGGGGAAATTGTTGGAGCAACTTGAGGGATATAGAACTACGTTAGCTGTTTAATGCCATATACGCCCAGCTACGAGGCATTGTCAGCAACGGTGAATATTTCAAGGAAGGAATAACTCACGCCGAAGAGGCCAATTATTGCAGTACCAAGAAGATTCAGCTGCCATTGGATGTATCACATTTTCACTTCCAAGCGGTTCGCTTGGATTCTTCCCTTCATCCGAGAAGGCTCTGAGCTCTGCCCTGTGACATGGTGGCCAAATCGCTTGTGTAGGTTTGGGAGACTCCGACCAGAATGCTGACAGCGTAAGTTAGATAATAATTTCTGAGAGGATGGTCCTGTTACCCGGCTAGAACGTCCGGACATTGCGAGTGAGAGCCATCTGTATCCCACAAAACATGACAGCCCTGGGCTTGGCATAGGCAAGGTCAATGTATACCGGTAGGAGGCGATCCCGCACACCCATCAGCCCTGCCCCAACATTCTTCTCCGGGGATGGTTCCGTTTGCTCGTAGAGCAAAGCTCTATTCCCCAAGAATATACCAGAGCACCCAACGCATGATGAGAACTTATACTTGTACAGGCAAGTGGAAGCCCAAACAAGTGAAGGCTAGCCAAGACACCCCAACCACGACCAAATACTCTCTCGAGCCTCGCGTTTTTCACCTCGAAGACAGTTTTATTAAGGTTACCGAAGTAGGGAATCAACTTTCATTGGCAGGGTGGTTTTGTTATTAACAATTTGCTAGGACATTAGGGATGTCAAAGGATCTCTTAGAATCGGTGTTCCCAACGAGCCAGGTAGGCTAGGCCGAATGAAAGCCTGGCCTGGCCTGCCGCTATAGGCTTTGTACAGTACTACCTGTCTTTTGGAGCTCGCTTAGCCAGATGTTTGCTTTCCTTTTGTCTTTAACTTTCGTTCAACGTGACTTTTGTTCTACCAAGCTACCATCTGCCCAATGAATTGTCCCCATGCATTATCACTCGGTGCGGTAGTAGCTCCTGTTGTTAGAAATGTCAGAAATGCAACAAGTAATTAGCAGCGGAAAGAGAATGTATATTCGTTGACTGTCTAATGCAAGGAAAACTCAAACGTATTATATACCTTCTTCATAAGTACCACCGTGTACTTTCCAAGAGGACACATCTGCATTGCCGTACAATGATTGTGTAATGGTGATGGGGAAACTTCTAGCTAAGGGATAGCGTACCAAGTACTTCCGTAATAGTGAGAAGGAAGCCGACACTAAACTAGGGTTTTCCAACACTTGTTTCAAAGGATTTATATCTAATAGCCTGTTCCCCTCCTATTTCTCTGTCGGTCATTGTCGGGGGAAGCATGTGTGACGTGGAAACAAGTGTGACGCCTCACTTTTTATTTTATTTTAACATATTCAATTTTAATAGTTATTATACATATAAATTTATTTCAAATACACAACATATTCTATTGAGATAGTGTAACATAATTCTATATATGAAACTACTCTATTGATAGCAGCACTTCTAATTTATTTAGTCAAGTTGGGGAATACTAATGCTCGTGCCAAGGTTGTGACAAGTCGTCACAACCCCCGGATGCTCGCTTGCTCGCAAACGGGGCACTCAACTGAGTGCCCGACAGTTCAACGTGAGTTTGCAGTTCAACATCACTTTGTGGCTTGATGTAGACAACTTTGGATCTTGGCTTACGACAGAGTTACTCTCTCACGGTCTGCTGCTGTCCGAGTACCAAAATAAGTAAGATGCGTTACTGGAGAGATTAATAGTTGCATTTATCTCGCCTATCTACCACTTTCAGGCGTGCCCTTGGTATGTGGTAGCCCCGAAATGTCATATTATGCTGCAATGTTCTGGAGAGCAAGCCACAAAATACCGTTGAGCCACAAAGTGATGTTGAACTGCAAACTCATGTTGAACTGTCGGGCACTCAGTTGAGTGCCCCCGTTTGCGAGCAAGCGAGAATCCGGGGGTTGTGACGACATGTCACAACCTTGGCACGAGTATGACTTCTCTTTTCCTTTTCTGTTACGTATGTTTGTTCTGGTATGTCGTGACCAGACTATCGGAATTAGATCTGCCGCAACTAAGGAAGATTATGGCATGGTTGCAACAACATTACCGGTATCTCATGGCCTAGTGAGACACGCAGACTGGGGACACTCCTAAAATAGAAGACTTCCATTTAATAATTACACCCTGATTGGTAGCGTCTAAACCAGTTCGGATTTTCTAGTGTGGCTTTCGTCTTGTTTTCATATTGGTTAGAATACACTAAACTTGAAGGGGTCGACACTAACTCAATTTGGGCTATATTTGGTGTGCCCCCCCATTCTGCGTGTCTCACTAGGCCACGTGATAGCGTCATTGTAACCTGACCATCTCCCAATCTAGTTAATACTGTGGCTTTGTGGTGTAGTTGGTTATCACATCCGTCTAACACACTGGTGGTCCCCAGTTCGAGTCCGTACCAAATTAATTTTTCTCCCCTCTCGTGGCTAGTTATCACTTTTTGCCTTCAACTAAATTTAATTCCTCCCACTGTATTTTCCCCATGATGCCCCTTTGTGTTAGAAAAAGGTGGGTAGCCCGGGGGTGGAAAATTATCATAAAATGTGACTGCGGGGGGTGGGGGGATGTTTGGATTCACAGTTTGAGCTTTGCTTGCTTTTTTTGCTACGGTATGCTAGCTGGTCAGTTATTCCTGTTAAGCAATACCTAGATATGATATACTTTGCCTTCTCGCGTTAGACTTTATCTGTTCGCAGGGTGCTACTATGATCGCATGAGATCTGATGTATCCGCCATGATGAGTGATCACTCGGGGAAAAACGGCTATAATAATATTATGAGGGAACGTTATGTACGATATCATACTTGCGTAGCCCGACTTGGAAGCCAGATCAATTCTGCATCACAACACTCATCTGTTCTGTGCTTATCATACGGATGTATAACCCCTGGTGCCCTACCGCACTTCAGAATAACTCAAACCCGTTTATTGAATCTTGCAAAACGTGAATCCTATGATATTTGTTTTCCTTTACCTATCACCGACCAAGTACCCTAGCTTACGGGCACCCCCTCCTCCAATGGTGCAGGAATATCTATCTATCAAACCAGCACCGACAGCCCCAAATCCACCGCCCCGGAGGATAAGTGCTTACTCCCTTCCATCCGTTCATATTTGCATCTCGTTTCCCTACCTTCCATATCATACGACCCGCTCCCAGACCTACCTTACAGATGACCATCAACAGTTTAGGCTTTCGATCCCCTGCACGCAAACTAAATCAAGGGGGCGAAATGGGAAAAATACCGAAAAAGGAATTAAATCCATTTGAGTGCAAAAAGCGATAACTAACCCCAAGATGGGAGAAAATTTAATTTCACCCGGGCTCGTACCAGGGACGGCTAGTGAGTTGGACTTGCATTGTTCCAGTTCCAGAAGGGAAAATGGGCGTCTGGAGCTGTGCAAGGCATGGCAAGTTGAGAGGTACTTGTGTAGCTTAACCCCCACAAAATGTCTCTAAGTTGGGGTGAGTGGGGAGAATTCAATTGTTTTTTAATCGCAAATTTGGTGTCAAACCAAGGACTGACTCATCGCCTGGGGGAGCCCAATCAATTTTTAGATGGTTTCGTGGTGTACACTCGCACCCCGCTATCCCGGATGGCCAAAATCCAAAGAATCTGTGCGGTACAGCGGGTGATCCGGGACAACAGGTCGGGTTTTGGTGTAAAAAAATTTAGAATTCACAGATGTTCATATGGGACAGCGAGGTATCCGGATTATCGAGATCCGGGACAGCGGGGTGTGAGTGTAGTTGGTTCTACACCACGTTGCAGGTGGAAACTATTGACTTCTCACCTACTGAACCCAACTTAGCCAATATTCATGGGGGCAGAGCTGCACGCCCCCCACCTCCCAGGACTGCTGCTCTGCTTTAACTCACCTCCAGAAACTCAGCACGTTCTCCCAGATCCCAAAGGTAATCCTGTCAATTAGAGCCCAATAGAAAGTACAGACGAGATCCGAACGTTGGTATTAGATGCCCTAGAGCATGTTGACAAAAGTTACGGTTGACAATTCCTACCAGATAACCAAGGAATTACTAGACTTCAGCGAGAGTGTATTGCTACTTTAGAATCTAGGTGAACTGGAACCCACCTTTCCTGTAGAGGTAATCTGGACAGGAGGGTATGATAGGCTCAGCCAAGTAGTATCTTACAGGTTAGAATACTACTTGATTATAGTGTTTGGATACTTGATCTTAAATGTGAACCCCCCGCAACTATTGGCACAGATGCTTTCGTCTTGATATCAAGACCTTTACACTCATTAGACCTGTGCCAGACCAAAATACTATTAATGTCCATCCTGATGGAGTAACCCTATCATGGGATATAAGGTTAGGGCAGATTGTTGGGATTGGGATGGTCACCATGTGGAGGGAAACTAGGTTTTCTAGTGTTTGTGTGCAGTAGTTAGTCTGCTGTATTTAGTCTGCATTGCATTCCTTTTACTTACTGATAACGACAATAGTTTACAATGAAGACTCTTCTCTCTGCACCTTCTTGGCTGTTTCCCCTGTATGCAATTGGTGAACCAGGAAAGTGTTGCCATCAGGTTATGAGCCCAGCATATTAGCTGATGAGCTGAGAATAGTAAAAATAAAAAGAACTTTTGTCTGTTTCTTTTCTTTTCTTTTCTCACTTTGGCTCCCATCTACATGTCACTATGGAAAAAAGAATGTTTGAGGAATTTCACCAACCCAATTCGACACTATATACTGCTGAAGAAGAGCTACTGCAAGTAGTACTGTCACCGATAATTACCCAAGATGAATGAACAAGAAGGTACATCATCATTGGTGGGAATGAGTTTTGCAAAACTCAATGGGTCCAACAATGAGTTGTGGGTGATGAGGATGACAGATTACCTGCAGAGAGAGGGTCTGTGAGATCTGAAGACAGAGGAAGAGAACATCTTGAAGAAGACTTTCAAGTTGGTGGATGATAAGGATTATGAGAAGAAATTAGATAAATATCTAGCCCAATGGTCTCAGATCCAAAAAGCAATAAGGATGCTCTGATTGGTGATGACAGATGCAGTAGCTGTTGGATATTATGGATCGACATGGACAACACCAACAAAGATCTGGGAAGAGGTCAACTCAAAATACGAAATGACTACCAGTTACAATTCGAATCATCTACAGAAACAACTATATGAATGCTCACTTGAAGACTCTGACACAGTTCTAAACTATCTGAATCACATTCAAGAACTGTGCAATAAGCTCCTGATGTGCGGAGAACTCCTAACTCATGCGCAATTGGTCTTTCACATCTTTGAAGGTTTACTGAAGACACTACAGTAGAAGATGTGAGTTATGGTAACTAGAGTGGCTGTTCTGTCTCAGACTATGATAACTGTATATCAGAAGTTGAAGTTGCTTCTCATGGCATATGAAGTGGAACTTCCTCAACTACAAGCTATTCTTCCTAACTAAGCTCTATTTATAAACAACAAGAAAAACAAACCAAATGTTGAACAGAGCCAATATCAACTAAGCCAACCAACTCCAAGAGACAGGACAAACTCAGAGATCCTCAACATTTACCGGAAACTATCATGGCTGTGGTAAAAAAGTTCACAAGAAAGTCAACTGCTGGCAAGGGAATAGAGAGAATAGGCAGAACCTGAGAGCTATGAGAGGAAGACAAGATACATGCTGGATTCCCAGAAAATGGGACCATGCCAATATTGCAGACGATGAAGCCTGGCTGAGTGAGGAGAAAGTGATGAGTATGGTTGAGCACAAGGGGGTGGTTTCAGGAGAGCAAGAGAGAGCAGGTAGAATAGAAAATAAGGAGTATGAGAGTGGGATTGAAGAGGTACTGAGAGGAGTTGACATGGAAAATGATGTGGAATGGGTAGTCGATTCAGGATGTATGTATCATATGACTGGAGATCGACACATTTTCATAGATGACACCTACATTTCATTACCCACCTATAACCATCAATTGAAGACTGCAACCAGAGAGATAGTCAAAACAGTAAAACTTAATATTGTTAAGTCACAGCTTCCCTCAGTAAGTTTCTTGAGTGGTAATTGATTGCCAGTGTAGAGTGGGACTCGCATATAGTTTAAGTAGAATATCATATACTGCCAGTTCCCACCCATCACTACTCTAACTTAATCATGAGAACACAGGTCTCCTCCTAGTGGACCAACACACACCACTCAGGACATTCTTCCTTTGTGGATGTTGGTCCACTCTGGCTAAATCTCCTTCCAACATTAAGTGTTTCAGTGCTGCATCTCTAATGCAACCACAGGAGAAAAACTCTTCATATCATTGACATGCTAGTGGTGAACTATCATGCAACTGAGGAGATATAACATTTATGAACTCTCATACCCATATGCATTTCATCTATGCAAGCCTTTAGTAGACATAGCTCTCATGATCAAGCTGAACCTTCTACTTCATTCTAGTTAAGTCTTTGCCTGATAGGAAAGTCTACTTGGCTCCCCTAGTGAGGTACCTTGGTGATTCACCTAGTGGGTGCTACCCACAGTCAACTCCCTGAAAGCACAACTACCTTGATAAGAATCATGCTTCTAGAGTTCTCAAACAACCCCAATAGTCTTACAGTGATTGGGCACAAGTTGTACCTATGTGCGATTCACCTGCCCGGAGATGCTTCAACATCTTCTGGGCTACCACAGGACTACCCGGGAGCCTCCAGACTACCCTTCTAGTATTACCTAAGTAACTCCTTCAGTTCTTGTCTGCTTTACACATATTTAGCACCAGAGGATAGCCCTTCTTCTGGAGCACACCCTATGCTTTCTCATATATCCTATGGACAGCATCCGGTCGGATGGACGGTGACAACATATATGGTGTTACAAGATTGCCTCCACTCAGTTCCTTGAGTAAGGAATAGAGCAACTCAACAACCGTAACCCCATGACGTGCAGCCCTTACACTGGGGGTGCAGGAGGATGTTAGGAATACTTCTGTAAAGTCCTGGGGTATTCGGAGCCCTGTAGCTCCTCCTATGGCCCCCCAAAGGCTACCAAGTTTGTTGCCTTTAGATTTTACTGGAGTGCCCAATCCTTATAGGATCACCCCCTGCCCCAAGTAAGTATCTCTTTATGCTAGGTAGGGTAACTTGGGTGCCATGTCAGGGTAACTCAGACCTTGTGGCAGGGTCACCCAGACCTCATGGCGGGGTAACCCAGGCCTCATGTCAGGGTAGCTCAAGCCTCATTAGATGAGCCTTTTCCGAGCCTGCCTTTCATACTACAATCTTATAGTATACATAATTGTCCACTATAGTGAACCAAACTACCCTGACCAGTTGACCTCAAGGTCTCCAGTATAGGTATAAGAATAGTTTAATGTAAGACACCCTCTGGTGGGTCATTACATGACTCCCCTCTTCTCTAAGGTCCGCCACT